CAAGTACGATGAAAACGCAGCAGAAGAGATAAAGAAGGAAGGAAAGAAAGAAAGAAAGAGAGAGAGAGAGAGATAAATACATATATAACTAAGAACAGAAACACACACGCACACACGCACATGCGCGCGAAGAACAAGACACACAAACAAACGACTCTCCTTTCGCACCAGACAAAATCCTTCCACAATGTGAGAAATACATAAAGTGTAATCGCGTATACATCAAGGCTTTTCGTTTCCTTACTTGGTGTTTCTTTTGATACCTCCTCGGGCCTTGCTCCGATTTCTACATGCCCTCATCCTTGCAAGATCCCGTAAATGGCATGAGCGAATTTTCCCTACCGAGGGATGACATCATCCACGGGGTAACCTTTTCTCCAACGCCGTGTAATACACTCTGCCCCGTTAATGCCATGACCAGCCGTACAAATTCATTTACGTGAAATTCGTAGGTGTCATCTACCGGGATGCCAAGGAGCTGCAGGGCATTTACTACCTCTGCCTTACTTACAGGGATACCTAAGCCGCGCCAGAGACCCTCTTCCACGCACACCGCCAGGGAGACACCGTGCAGTAGAGTAGACAACTCAGCTGCGGGTTGAGCGCCATTGGCCGCAGCGCAATGTGCGGATTTTGTTCGGGGCATACTTGGATAAGTTTGCATGGCGGTATAATTTGGGCTTGGCGCCGTGGTGGAGTTGTTTCCTCCGCTGTCTGCGTAAGTGTTGCTGCGGCTTCTACAGTGGCTCTTGGGGGCTGCACGGATCGATCTACTCGTGGCGCTCCCACTGGAGGAGCTTGTGCGACGTGTTTCGTCGCCCGTGCATTTTTGCTGTTGCCGCTCTTGAGCCACTCCATCTGCAGAGCACTTCTTTTGCACGACGGACTCCAAGATGGAGTAGAACGTGCCCCGCACAACCTCGGTTGGGTAGCGACCCTGAATCACGAAGGCCATACGGGCAAGGAAAGCGTCAAAGTACACTCGTTCCCGTGCCTCGGCCTCCGCTGCGCACGATGTGGCGGCCGGTGTGTCTGTGCCAACCCCCTCCTCGGCGGGGAGGCAGCCGTGGCTGTACCGCATTGCACCAGTGCGCTTCACGTCGTCAAATAACTCCGCAATGAGCGGAATTTCCGGAAGAGGAATATTTACGCACTGCAGGATCTCCGATAGCATCTCAATGTCCACCAGCTGTGTCTCCGCCCCAACACAGTCGGCCTTGGCACTACGAAACTCCTGTAGGAAGTCCTGCATGTCCACGGAAGCCAAGCTGAACGCCGAGAGATCGCTTCGGGTGCTGTCATCGCGGTCTAGGGCCGCCGTGCCGGCGCTGTTATACGTGTTTTCGCCCCCGGCCGTGGCCAATCTAAGGCCTGCGGGTCCATAGGGTGTCTCATTGCGATTGCTGCGCGCGGGGTTCCAAGGCACTAACATGGCGGAGGCAGGCCGCATCATGCAGACATTTGTCCTCGTGCTAGTAAGACTTGTCTGCAGCGTTTGTGCAGTCGACTCAGGCAGAGGGGTCGATGGGGCGTTGACGCCACCCGCTGAAAGCGTCCACGTCTCCGTATCCGTTTTTGCGGGCGCCTCAGATGCATGCGCCGTCGCCGTAGCCGTTAACGGCAGCCCTGGCGGTTCCTTCTCTTCTTCCTCCTCAACTGGGGCCTTTTCCTCCTGGCGTCTTTCCTCCAAGTCTCCCTTTTCCACTTCTCGTGCGGCAGGGTCTCTGTCCGCTGGCTTTTTACTGTCACACGTCTCCTCCGTCGACACTTCGCGTTGCACGGGGGAAGGCTCTGACGGTTGCTGGGATTCCTTTCTACCAGTGTTCGGACAGCCGCCGTTGGCAGTCTTTATGGAGCACTCCTTACCGGCGGATTTCCCGCCGTTGGCACGCATATGTTCCAGAATGTACTGCAGCGGATCTTCCGGCTGCTCGTTTAGCACGCCGCTGAATATGCCCTCAACTGTACTATGCACGCCGTGGCGCAGTAGGTAGCGGTACGCCTCACCCGCCTCGCCCTGCTGTGAGGGCTGCTGCTGTTGCGGCTGCTGCTGCGGTTGCGGTTGCTGCGGTTGCTGCGGCTGATGTGTTGGACGTTGTGACTGCTGCAGATGTCCGAGGGGCCGCTGATGTACCCCAATGGAGCCCTCACGCGCGCTGGCACCACTGGACATTTAGGTAAAAAAAAACAAAAAAAAACAACAAAAACCCCCTCCAGCTTTTGACCACGCTTTACGTCCGCCTCTTGCTGCTGCGGCCAAACCCACCTAACGGCCCACGCACGCAGGCAGAGAGAGGGAGAGAGAGAGAGAGAGAAGGAGACCAAAAGAAAAAAAAAAAAGTGCTGCGCATGCGACGCATCGATGGGTACGACTAGACTCTTACGCTTCATACAATTCAAGCAACCAAAGCAGTGCGGATGCGGGGGAGGGGAGGAGTTTAGCGGAATTTAAACGTCCCACAGTGCAGAGGTACGGCGAGGTGGCACCCATCACTTTAGTGTACAAAGCACCGCCGCGGGCTTTTGCCCTGTTCTTCACTTCCGAATGTGAACTTCCATAAAGCGGATGGGCTCCGTTACATTGGACGTCATCTTGAACTCGTGAATGTACTTCCACACAGTGGGGAAGTCCCTCTTCAGGGCAAAAATAAAGCACTTTGCATTTTCACACAAGTCACCCGCCGTCATGCCGGCGTGACCCACACGAAAGATCAACTGCCCCGAGTTCTTTGCCCGCACTACACCGCCCAAGACACCCTGCGAGAGCCGAAATGTGAGACTCGTGCGATCCTCGAGGTTACGCAGGGCGGTGATGCATTTGCGCGAGGCCTTCGGCAACGATGCGGCCGGCGTAGCCGGGGACGACTCTGCGAGCTTCCCGCCTCTGCCTTTAGTCGCAGCGTCCCTTTTCCCGCCCTGGATTCCTGGTCGTGGCACGGAGGAAGAGGCCACTGCACGCGCCTGCGTGGTCGCCGGCGACGGCGCCGAGGCCGCGGCGGTGATGCATGGCGGCAGCTTCGACACAATCCGCTCATCCACAACAAAGTGGGAAAAGGTCTTGGCTACCAGCACCGCCCGACGCGCGGCCTCCGCGTCGTCCCGCTTACAGATGGCCTCCGCCGTCACCACGGCGTCGTAGTACCCGTGCCGTTTATTAATCTTAAACGCATCACCGGAAATAACACGCGGAACAATGAGGCATGTTGTGCGGCCGTTCATGGCGTAGGTGCGCTTCGGCAGCTGGAAAACGTGCTCGGTGAGCAGCTCCGGGCACTGCGTAACCACCACAGCGGGCACGACAAACTCAATGAAGACGCCCTCCGCCGCGGCAGCCTCCGCGTCAGCCCCACACAGCCGCTGTATTTTGTGTACCACGGCCTTCGTCACAATGAGGCGTTTGTCCTGCGGCATCCTCTTGCTTTTTTATTCGCAGCCTTACTTTTATTTCGTCCCCTTTGCTTGTTTATTATTTAGTGTTTGTTTCTCTGTTTTTTTTTTTTCGTTGCTTCGGTTACGTGTTCTCTGGTTTGCTGTCTTCAGCCTGCGTGGCGGCCGGCGGGGATGCACCGCAGCGTCGCTCCCAGTGCCGTGGAGAGGGGGCCTGGCGAGCGCCGCACAAGCGCCCAGTGAAAGCAAAGACGGCAAAAATAAATAAATAGAGTAAAAAAAGGAGGAAGCACAAGCCAACAACGTGCACAGGCAGGCACACGACACCACCGCTGCTTCTCTTCCCTTTCCCTTTTTATTTTTCTTCTTGCTGCCGTCGTGGCTCTCGCCTTGGCGCCCCCCGCCCAGGAAGAACCTCGCCGTCGTTGCGCATCCTTTTTTTTTTCTCGCCCTCTCGTCGATATGAAGCACTCGGGCGCCCCCGCCCGGGCGGCGCTATTCTTCGTCCATCAGCAGCGTGGGGTGCGGGGCAGGCCGCAGGTTCTGCGAGCGTGCCGCGTCCGCCTCGTCCGCCTCGTCGGCGTCCTGCGTCAGCCGTGGAATGGCGCCACCGGCAACGGCCAGCAGCTTTAAGGCGTTCGGCGCCACCGGCGGCGGCGCCGCTGCTGCCACGGCGACGTCGGCGCGCAGTTGCGTATCGAAGAGCCGCGTGTCATCCCACCGGGTGCCGTCCGCGTGCCGCTGCGTCTCACTCGCCGTGGGCGGCGAAGCCTGCGACCGGGGCCGCTTGCCCGTGCGCCTCACCTCCACCAGCGCACTCCCGTCCTGCGCCTCTCCCGCAGCCGCCGCGTGCGGGTCACGCGGAAACGTCGCCTCGTAAAACGCCACCACCTTCGCGTCTGCGCCGATGGCGCTCGGGTCGAACTCCGTGAGGGCCAAATCCTCCCGCCGACGGACCCGCGTGAGGGCGACGTACGCCTGCCCACACTCGAAGAAACTTGCGTTGAGTTCCACCCGCGCCATCGGCAGCGTCATGCCCTGCACACGGTGCACCGTCAGGGCCCAGGCGAGCTGCAGCGGGATTTGCGTGCGGGCGGCCACAACACGTCCGTCCGAGGCCAACACGTCCATCCGCACGCGCGGCACCACCACCTCCTCGCCGCCTTTGCTTGCAAGGCACACCACCGGGAATGCCTCGCCCTGCGCCTGCTCCGAAAAGGCAACCACAACGCCAAGGTCGCCGTTCGAGAGGTGCGGGGCGCTTGGCAACGAGGCAAGCAGCACCACCTGCGCCCCAACACGCAACTCCAGCAGCGGCAGCAGCGAGACCTCCTTGTCCAAATCGTACCCAGGCGTTGAGGCGTAGTCCTCGGAGGCGTAGCGGTGAAAGTCAACGTCGTCCAAGAGCTGCAGACGCTCCATGTTGTACGCCGCGGCACATTGACGGCGCGCCATAATGACGGTGGGTTCGACACCAAAACGATCCCCCAGCCGGCGGCTAAGGCAGGAGGACAAGAGACTCTCCACACGCCGAGTATACCGCCCGTAGCGGATGTCTTCCATGCATGCCGCGAAGACTGGGTCGCCTTCGTGACGGTAGTTCTTACGAAACTCCACGGCGGCAAGCTGCAGCGTCCTCCACAGCGGGCACTCAAAGCACCACTTCGGCTCCTGCCTCGCTTCGCCGGGGTGGTCGCCACGCACGGGGGCAGCCAGGGCGGTGACAGGTGGCAGCTGCAAAAAGTCCCCGAGGAGAACGAGCTGAAGCCCGCCAAACGGTTTTTCAGCTTCGTGACGCACCTGTCGGGCAACTGCGTCCAGCAACAGGAAGACACTCGCCGGAAGAACGCCGATTTCATCGATGATGAGCGTCTTGCACTGCCGCCACGCCCGCACCACCTCCGGGCGGCTCCTGACGCGACGGTAGACCTTGTCGAAGGAGCCTTCCCCCCTGCCGATGCCGGCGAACGCGTAAATTGTGACGCCGCCGATGATGCGAGCGGCAATTCCAGTGGTGGCGGTCGCCACTACGCCCTCACTGCCCGACAAGACATCCTGCAGCAGGTGCAAGAGCCACGCCGTTTTCCCCGTGCCCGCCGACCCGGTCAAAAAGACGCTCCTCCCCGCGCGCACCAACTGAATGGCACGCTTCTGCTCCGTCGTCCACGACACGCCGGCGGACGGCGTCAGCGTTTCACGCGCGCCATTTCTCGGGGAGGGGACCATCTGCCCCGGGGCCACTTCTGACTGGGTCGCGGATGCAGCTGCTGGGACGGCGCTTCCGCCCCGCGCCGGTTGTGCTGTTGGTTTACCAGCATCACGAGCAGCCACGCCGTCGTCCAAGCCGTCCGCGGCCTCGCCACCGTTGTCGCCGTCGTTATCCTCCCATGCTGGCGTGTCAAATGCATTCGGGTCACGAAGTGCGTGTCCCGCTGCCTTGCGTCCACGCCCCTCTCGGCCCATATTGCGGGCCACGTTCTTCTCCATGTCTCTCCAGTGACTGCGGTCCTGTAGCACCGCAGCCATGATGCGCAAGGCATCCACGTCGGCCGTGGTCTCAATAAACACGGTGCAGACCCGTTGCTCGTGCGGAACCACAACTGTGAGCTTTCCCTCCACGGCATACGCCGACAGCACACGCTGCAGCCCCGCGAGTTGAAAGAACGTCCCCTCGTGGCGCTTGTGCCGACTAGAGCGGACGACAAGGCATGGGCCAAGCCCGGACTGTCGCGAGAGAAAACACTCCGTGCCGCCCCACTGACCCACCCGCTCGCCGTCCTCCCCCGTGACGATGATGCGGCCCCGCACGGCAGCGACGGTCATTTTGGGCTTTAGCGTCGACATGAGCCACGTGGTTCTACAGCAGAGTGCCCGTTGTCTATGCGGAAGCGCACACACACACACACACACACACAGGAGTTTCCTCCCCCCACCCCACCACCACCACTCCTCACGTGTGTCTGCTCAACGGCAGGCCAGTACGTGCCTATCTCTGTATTGTATTCGTGTGTGGGCCAGGGCGGCGCGGCCTCTCTAGACCTCTCTTCTTCACACCCCACAGCGCAGGAGGAGGTATGGGTCCAATAACAACAAGCAGAAAAAAGCGAGGAATAACTTTTAAAGAAAACACACACATACAAAAGAGATGATGCACGCAAATAAAATGCAACATATCACTAGCCATGATGGGCAAAGTATCAGCCCCTCTCGCTCTCTCGCTCCCCAGTGGATTTTCTACAGCTATAATTTATTCCCGACCTGCACACGTGGTGCGCGGGCGGCGGCGGCGGGAGCGTCATGTGTTGGCGTCGCTGGTGGCTCTTGACACCGCGGCGGGCTCCTCCGACACCTTCTCCACCCGGAACCCAATGTTCTTGCGCACCATCTCCCTCGCCGCGGCCTCAATCGCGGCTCGGCGAAGCGGCTCCATGCCCTCCTCCGTCGAACACGCCGCCCCTGCCGCGGCACCGGTGTGCGGCCCCAGCACCAACACGCGCCGCAGCTCCGTCTCGAGGAGGTCATAACTGCACTGCAGGGCTAACGCGGTGTACCGCAGCTCCGTCGCCGCCCTGTGCGCCGCGCGGTCCGTCTCCTCCAGCCGACGCAGCAACGCCTCGTGCGCCGCCAGCTGGCTCAGCTGCAGCTCTGCAACCCGCAGCCGCGCCGCCGCCAGCTCCGTCCGAAGCGCATCCACCTCCCGCCTCTCCGCCGCGGGATCCGGCGCGGAGGCGGAGGACGACGGTTGGCGCGGTCGCTGCGGGCCCGCGAGGGAAGCCGTCGCGTCAGCGGCGGCGGGAAAAACGCCCGACTCCGACGCGTATGCTCGGCGGAGCAGACGCAGGCAGCGCCGTGCCATCCACACCTCCCCGGCCCCCGCAGACAACGCGCGAGAGGAGAGAGAGAGACGGGTAGAGGCAACAGTAGCGGACAAAAAAAAAACAACAGTGGGCGGAGTTGAAGGAGTAACGCAGCCTCTTCCCTTCCCCGCACAAGCACCGCAGCGGGCGACACGCAAGGCAAAATACAGCTCTCAGAGACAGACAGGGAGACGCATTACACGTAGTAGAAGAGAGGGGGGGGAGACGTGCTGTAAATACGGGAATAAAACTTATTCCTGAGGACGGGGCCACGCCTCGCAGAAAATGCTTCTCCAATGGAGTAAGCCCCCCTCCCCCTCCATCCTCACTTCCTTTCCCGTCTATAGTGCAGCCGCGGTGACGGCGTGAGTGCGTCCACGAGGAAGTCTTTATCAAAAGCACGACAAGCAACAACAACAACAAAAAAAAAAAACAACCTCGGGCGCGACCCAACAGAGCCTACGTCGCAAGGAATAGTTGATATAACAGAAAGCTGGAGGGAATAACCGTCCCCCTCCACCACCAACTTTGGCCCCTATTCCCTCTTGCTGTTTGCGTGTCCGTCCCGCAATATATATATATTCCTACTTTTTTATGGAGAGCCCACTGGAAGGAACTTGCGCCCCTTCCCGTGGAGCAGCATTGCATCTACCGCTTCCTTTCCACTTTCTCGCTCTGTATGTTTCTTTTTGCTGCGCTTACTGCGGGGCAGGGGAGTTTCGTCTTCTCTGGAACCAAATCTATTCTATGCATGTTTTCATCTTGCTCCTTCGTTTTTCTGTGCCGCAGTACGCATTCGCTACCGACAAAAATATTCATATATTTTTGTTCCTTACGTTTTTTTAATTTACTTATTCCCGGGGTCTTTTCTGCATTTTTTTTTTTCAATGTTTTGTGTCGTTTGACTTAAGTGTTGGATGGTAAAACAACAACAACAAGTAAAAAGTAGAAAAAAACTAAATAAATAAAAAAAACAGGAGGGGAGGGGAGGAGCGGGAATTTGTTACGAAAGTGACCGTCCGCCGCACGAATTGCCTTTTTTCTTCTTTTATTCCGTTTGCGGCGACAGTTCCTCCGCGCCGGCGACGGAGAGGCGGCGCGCGGCAGGCGCCTTGTCGTTGGCCGGGGCCTCGACGCCGAGGCAGAGCGGCGGCGCGGCACAGTCACTCAGCGGCGACGTGAACCCCGCCGCCCCCGCGGCCTTGGTGGAGGGCGTCCCTGTCTCCGCCTCGGGGTGCTGCGGCGCGTCCGTCTGCGCCTCCACCGACCTGCTGGCCGCCTCCTCCCTCGACCGCTTCCGCGCCTTGGTGACGAAGCAGCTCCTGCAGGCGGCGATGTACTTGTCGGAGCCGCCGATCAGCTCCTGCTTCTCGGAGGACACGGTGCGGTACGTGAAGGAGGCGGCGCGGCAGTGGCACGCCATGCAAACCGCGCTGAGCTTCTTCACCGACTCCGCGAGGGGAATGAGGCAGCAGATGGCGCCAAACGGGCGCCTGCGGTAGTCCCCATCGAGGGCAGAGACGATGACCGTCTTACCGGCGTCGGCGGCCAAGTTGCAGAACTCGACTATGTCGGGGAAGAACTGGCCCTCGTCCACCGCCACCACGTCGTACGCGCGCCACGCATCGCCGACCTCGCACAACTTCGCCACGGCCGCCGTGGCGCCCAGCACCTGCATGTCGTGCGACGACACACACGCACTGTTGTAGCGCACATCGCGGGAGTGCTTGACGATGTAGCAGGAACGCTTCGCGTACGACTCGCGGCGGACCCGCCGCATCAACTCCGTCGTCTTCCCCGCAAACATGGGGCCGATGATGAGCTCGATGTGGCCGTAAGATTCTTCCGACATCATTCTCTGCGGTGATGGCCGGTGAAAAAGGAGGAGTAAATGCAAACTAAATACGATGGGAGCTTGCGTGGAGTCTATGCGTGGAGGCTCTGCGTGGAGTCTATGCGTGGAGTCTATGCGTGGAGGCTCTGCGTGGAGTCTATGCGTGGAGTCTATGCGTGGCGTCTATGCGTGGCGGAGCTGCGGTGCCCAGGCAATACGAGGAAGCGGCATACAGCGAGCAAGAGAGAGAGAGAAGGGGAAGAAACATCTGCACAGGAAGACAAGCCACAGTCACAATGACTGGTCAGCCGCAGCAACAACATTCTGTGTGGGAAGAGGGGGGCGGCCGGGCATCACACAGAAAAAAAAAAGTTCAAAAAAAACAAAACAAATGAAGGAGATTTTTGAATCCAACGCGACAATACAAATTGAATCCGTCCGCGTCTTTCCTCCGTGGATGTGCCGCGTAGTTAATGCATGTAGGTACGCGCTATACAAAACACCGTAGAGTAAGGAGGGAAGAGGCAAGGCAGTCCCCTGCTGACAGTGGGGGCGCAGCAAGAGTTG